CTATAAATTCTAGTCACCTTGGGTCTTGTCCATGCATTCTTTTAAAATGTTCTGATACACTTTGGCTTTCCACCCCTTTTATAATATCATAGATGTGCTCTCTAATCGCGTCGTTCTTCCCACATATTGAAGTTTACATGAACACTTAAGTAAATAAATAACATTGTTACTATGACAGGTGATGTGTTCTTTCAAAGTAAATTCCTTCCGTGTACTTTCTGGCTTAAATTTTACTACTGCATTTCCCTGTGTATGTTGCATATTTTTACAGGCGGAGCACATCTATAAAAACCGATGTGGTGTCCCAAAAAATTTCCCACTTTATTTTTGTATTTTCCTTTAAATAACTATGCACTTATGTGTTTCTTAAATTTGGGGCACCTCAAAAGGTAATTTTGTGTTTAGATGGTAAAAGCTCACTTAAATCTCTGTCAGTTTTTAATATGGGCCAGAATTTGTTATTGTTTTTTTTTTTTTAATTGTGTTGGGTGTTAAAATCAAACACTAAAACTTCATTAAAATTTTCCTGATCTTTCCTGTTTATTATATCTTTCTGGATTAATTCTAATTGTGTGCTTGACTCTACTTCACTCTACTTCTATTTCACTTCACTTGCTTTTTCCAGAATGGTTTCGGGATATAGTTTCTCCCTAAATTTATTCGAAAGGTCGTCCGCTTGTTGTTTAAACACTTCCTCCTCTGTGCAGTTACATTTTAATCTAAGTAATTGGCCCTTCTGCATATTATTTAGCCACGGGCAATAATGCCCGCTATTGTATGCAATGTAACCATTCACATCTACTTTCTTAAAGAAGGTTTGTGTTTTGAGGACTCCTCCTTCTATATAGATTTTAAGATCTAAAAAGTCAATTGATGAGTTACTAACATTACTTGTGAGGTGTTTTCCCCAAGTGTTATTATAAAGAAAATTTAAAAAGTCTCTAAAACGATCCTCCAAGCCTTCCCAAATCAAGATCATTTCGTCTATATAACGGCGATAGGCACGTACCTCCATGTCATGTTGGCTATAAATAAATAAATTCTCCCAATGGGCCATAAAAATATTAGCATAACTAGGTGCATAAGTACTGCCCATCGCCGTTCCCATTCTTTGCAGATACAATGAAGAGTTGAACCAGAAGTAGTTATTCTCCAGGGTCAATCTAATATAGTCTATAAAAAAATTAATCTGTATAGATGGTAATGTTTGATCTTGTTCCAAGTAATATTTGACAGCTGCACATCCTTTTTCATGTGGTATGCATATATATAAGGAGGTGACATTACAGGTTATCAAATGGTATCCATCCTTCATATAAGGGGATACAATAGAGTGCATATCATAATGACATCCAGTTAAGAGTAATTGGTCAGACTGTGGTTTTTTGTTTGTTTGTTTTTTGCAGAGTAAACATCAATTGTGTACAGGCATTGGAGAGTTGAGAGTGTTTGAGATAAAACAGTAGAGGTACAAATAGATTCTTAGTGAAAATGAGAATACATTGGAAAGGAGGACATAGTATGAAATGATTGGAGCTGGGGGGTGTTGGTGATAATCGGAGCAAGAATAGCCGGGGTTATACCGGTCTTGACTTAAGTCAACCCACTAATCATGGCCTTGGTAAAGAACAGAGATGACAGAGCGTCCAGGAAGTTGCAAACTGGGAAAACAATATAACATAGGAAACATAGCACAGGCCCTATCAATAAAGAAAAGGAAATACGACAAAAAAGAGAGTCATGTATATGCTCCACTCCTTGTGCCATGGGTCACTGGGACAAAAGGAATGATTTTAGCAGGATCCCAGATAGTGGTGGTGGTAGGCTGGGGGCCGATGCCTAGGCCCAGTTTAGACAGGATACAGTCCATCTCTGAGGCACCTGACACCTTGAGCTCTGTGTCCTGGTGCAGGATAGTAAGGTAGCGAGGAGATTCTAATCTGTATTTTAGGACGTTGGCGGTTAAGAATGATGTGAGAGGTCGGAGAGTCTTCCTCCACTGCAGGGTAGTGCGGGAGAGATCAAAGAAGAAAGTAAGATCCATCTCTTCAAATTGGTACGGCGATTTCCCCCTAGTTGCATTCAGAAAGGTGGCTTTGTCTTGCCCATTCTGAGTTTTACAGTAGATCGCTAGAAGCAGCTGCCGAGCTCTGCTGAGGTTTGGGCAGTCGGAACATGCCATCAAGTGTTATGCCCTTTGCTTGTTTTGGGGGTAGTATAGCTGCAAACAGCCTTTGTAGGAGATGTGGCATTTGTGCCATAGTGATGCTCTCTGATATGCCCCTGATCTTGAGATGTTTCCACCTTCTCCTATCTTCCTGCACTGCCAGTTGGTGGTTTAGGAGAACTTGGGCTGAGGTAAGGTCCTGAACCTGTTTCTGCAGCTCTGTTATCTGCATGCTGTGGATGTCTGTGGTGTGTTCCACTGTTGTCATTTGTGCAGTAAACCCCTGAACATCCTCCCTCACCTGTGATATTTCAGCAGAAAGTGATTTCCTGAGCTCTGCCAGAAGACTGGTGAGTATAGCTGTTGTGACAGGAGGAGAGGTGACCTCTTTCAGGGGGGAAGGCTTGGATGGACCTTTGTAGCCCAGGTCGTCCATAATGTGAAGGAGTGAGTCGCCTGAGTCATTGGAAAAATCGCCGAGGACCGCCACCATATTGGGCATGCTTTCCCCATGGGGCCTCCATGGTAAGTCCCCAATATCTGCAGTAAACCCGGGGTGATCAGGCTTCGGCTTCTTGTTTTTTTTCTCCCCATCTCGCAGTGCACTCGTTTGGGCTTTATAACAAGTTGTGGTGTCCCTGGATAAGCCGTTATTTGTGCTTTTTTAGCTTGAAAACACGGAGCTCCGTGGTCATGCGACTGCTCATATTGGAACCTAGCTCAGCCCCCTTGTTTGTATTTTTTAAATGTAATTTAAAACAAGAACAATGTTTCTTATTAACATAAACTGATTTCTAAACACACTTATTGGAGTTACATTAATTGAAATCAGAGTCCTACTGCTGTGGAGCTATTATACACCCAGACACACCATCAATATGGAGCTCCTTGAAAAGAGGGACATTAGAATAGAAAAGAAGGGATAGAGGGGTTTGGGCTCAATATAGGAACTGTCCCTCCTAAATAAGGAAAGTTGGGAGGTAGGCTGTTACCATCAGCCATTGCTGATGTGGTAGATTTTCCATATATGATCTAGAAAGATAGCTCTTTGTCACATTTTGCCAAACATCTGCACTTAAGATAAAGTAGTTAAATTTTCAATGATATGTTATATCATACTTTAATATCTATCTATCTATCTATCCATCCATCCATCCATCCATCCTTATGAACAACTCAAAAGTGGCAGTCACAATTTAAGTTGTTTTGGTGAAATCAGATTGAAGAGGATACTAACTAACACAGTAAAAGCCTTTGTTGTTTTTTTTTTTTTTATTATTACAACTATTCAATGTGTGATTGCAAGAGAGCTATTTATATTAAAGTAATGCTTATTGAAGAGACAGAGGTGGCATAATAGGAACTTATGTGATAGAAAGATCACAAGCCATGCAGATGAGCCTGACATTAAAGAATCAGAAAAAAAAAGCTATTAGAAAAAAAAAGGTGGTCGGTGCATTTGTAAATCAATAATGAATGTGTTGAAAAGCAATCCTTGGTGGATGGAAATCAATCGCAAGTAATCTTTATGGTGTAAAGTAGGAGAATGACACATTGCTTCTAGTTATTTGATAAAATATTCTGGCAATGACTGCATGCAATATAAACGAGTCCTGTTAAGAAATATTCAAGACAGAACGAAGGAGTACAAAAATGTAAACCAGGTCGATATTTAGTCAAGGTGGATAAACACCCATTTTCATGATTGGTTTCCTATAATTTCTTCTAAATTGTATTTTCATTAATAGCTGCTTTGATGTGTCATATTTCTAGTCTTTGTCTTTAACTTTGCATATGAGTTCATCTAACATTTATAGTATATCTGCTGCACTTAGAATTAAAGTGAAGTGAGAATATATTATTTATTATGGAAAATTGACAGCTAGTCATAGGAGAAATTAACTAATTGAAGAGATTATAGATAAGTGCTATAAGATTTATCATCACTATAAGAGGAAGACGGCAACTGGCAATGGTTGTCAAAGGCAGGGTTTGCAGGGAATTTCCACAATGACAACTTTTATTGGAGAAATTTGGACCACGGGTTATTTTCATAATTTTCAACATGGAAATCCACATTTAGCCTTGGGTGTGTTGCAGGTAGATTTTCAGATAGTATTTATGTAACATTAAATAATTAATTCTGTGATCCTGCTACAGTAGTACATCTGAAAACCTTGAGAACTGAAAACGGGTGTATTCATACTTTTAACTTTTATAATAAATTGTACTTTAATCCATTAAGGACTGAGGCAGTTGTACAAGCTCAGATCAAAACAAAACCTTGAATTTGCGCGAAATATCTGTTCAACCGTAATTCGCCTTTTTCATATTAAATGCACCCACACTTATTATATATCATTTTGTTCAGGGAAAACAGGGCTTTAATGTCACATTAAATATTTATATGTTAAACATAATTTAATGGGGGGCGGGGCTTAGCGCCCAATGCGGTCGAACGCAACTGCCGAGAGCTCCGAGCACCGACCGCAATTTACAGTAAACTGCGGGATATCCCGCGGCCATCGGAGCACCGGACAGCACTCACCAGATCCAGGAGGGGGTGAGCTACAGGCACATGCCTTTTTTGTACCTGAAATTGAGCGGGAAAGCTCGCCGCAAGTCCGGGGCCTATCAGGGGTACAAGACCACGCGGTCAGCCGCGTGAGACTTGGAGGCTGAACTGGGAGAGCTCTACAGCTCCCTCTGGCTACCTGACTACACCGCACAACACACAGACAACATGGTGCGCAGAACCCAGAAAGCTCGGGCTGGCCCCTGCAGGGACTCCCAAGATATAGGGGAGATGCTACAACGCCCAATGGCACCCAGGATGGCGGTCCAGCCGGACACGGACACGCAAAGAGCTAAACCTCCAACCAATGCTCACATAACCGGTGATGCTGAAGCCCCTACAACCTTCCTAGAGGCACTGTCGGAACAAGATCCACACGTCCCAGCCACAAAACAAGACATCGCCAACCTCTTAAGGGAACTGCAACAAATGTCGGCGGCCGACATAGACAGGGTCCGCACCGATGTAAAGGCGGTGGAAGCTCGCACACAAGCCACAGAAAACACAGTTCTGGAGCTCCAACGAGAGGTACGAGACCTGAGAGACAAAATTAACATCCTACAGCACTCACATACCTCCCCGACACAGCGCGTCGACATCTCCGAATACCGCAATAGACTCCCTAACATCAAGGTCGGAGGTGTCCCGGATTCCATCAGCCAGGCGGAACTGCCGCACTATTTACGACGACTGGTAGAAACGATCCTTACACACTCACAAGATAATAAACTCCAGCTTGACGGCTGCTACAGGATCAACAAATCCAGACAGGCCCCTAGTGAAGCCACGCACGACATAATAGTAGGCTGCCACTCCATGTCAGACAGGAACCAGCTCCTGGCAGTCGTGAAGGGCAAAACCCCCATGGACTTTGAATTATCCAAAGACCTTTCCAGGAATACCCTGCAGTAGCGGAAATCACTAGGCGCAGTCACAAGCCACCTACGGGCAGCCAGAGTGGAATAACGTTGGCTATTGCCGAGAGCTCTCACAGCCACAACAGTGGATGGTAGGACCCTAAGACTCACTTCCACAACTGACGCAGCAGCATTCCTCCAAACATTGGGACTAAGCATGCACTCGGAAGCACCTAATGCCCCCACCGACACGCAACCCCAGACACCGGCTAGGCGGACGCTCCGCACGTCCGAAGGGGGAGAGAAACCAGACGACGAGACCTGAGCCCCCATGAAACCTACAGCTGTTACTATCCTTCTCTAAAGTTAATTTCAACACTGTTTACCATTACAACAGTTGATTCACCACACCTAAGCCTTATAAAAACACCACACACACTGTGGAACATCAACTGATCCCACAGTCACTACCCACATAGACGACCCCGCACCATTAAGACACCCAACATACACAGCTAAGCCCCTTCCCCCTGTATGCTCCCTTGGTTAGGGGCATGGCACCAACTAGACAAAGCGACTGGTACCACACACACTGACCTGACGCTAGTGTCACTTATGACAATACAAGACCTACATGAACCGAAATACGACACACGACAAACACAAGGGTCCGATACCTCACGGAACAACAGCGACAATTATCACAACATACTACCCACCCCGGAGGTACCCACACACACCACGAATATACATTACCAATCATACCATACATCCCCACTGACACACACGAAGAAAAAATGTTTAAATGAGGCATTTTAAAGTTGAATGTTTTATCTTGCAACTCTGTTACCTCACAATTTACATACTGAACAATGAATGTGTTAACCAATTTGTCACAATAAAACAAAGATTGACAAAAAACAAAAAAAAACATAATTTAATATGAATAAAATATAAAAATATGAGAAATTAAGAATTTTTTTTATTTTTTTAGTTCTGTGAATGTCATGATACTGTTAGCTGTTACTGCAATAAAGTACACATATTTGTATTCAGCAATGTCTCCTGAGTAAAACAGTATTCCCCCATGTAGATGTTTTATGGTGTTTTAGAAAGTTAGATGGTCAAATATAGCACATTAAATTTTTCAGTTTATACACATTGAAATTTGCCAGACTGGTTATTTTGCCTTTGAGACTGTTTCGTAACCCAGGAATGAGAATTGCCCCCATGATGGCATACCATTTGCAATAGTAGACAACTCAAGGTATTACAAATGGGGTTTATCCAGTCTTTTTTAGTAGCCAGTTAGTCACAAACACTGGCCTAAGTTAGCATTGATATTTGTTTGTGTGTGAAAAATGCAAAAAAACAAATTTGAACGCTACTTTTTGCCAGTGTTTGTGACTAAGTGGCTACTAAAAAGACTGGACCCCATATGCAATACCTTGGGTTGTCTACTATTGCACATAAAGAATATATAATTCCAAATAAGCTGCCTTACTAGAAGGCAGCCAATAGGAAAGGAACCCAGTTCAATCTCAAAAAAAGTATAAATAGTACCAAAAAATAATAAAACTTTATTAGAATATAGTAAAAACCTAAGACTAAACAAAGATGTCTAAGGTCTAGTACTAGGAGAGGTATAGCATATAGAAAAGCCTGAAAAACTGCCAAAAGAAAAGGGACAGTAAACTAAGCTGTGTTACATATACATTAGGGAATAACAGCATAGAGGACCTAAGTAGGAGAGAGAGGATACATATGTAGTATATAGTATTTAGAAACCCAAAAAAGGGGTAAAAATGCCCCAATTGTTACATAGAGGGAACCAGTAAAAATACTAAACCCAAAATCAAAAACCCCCTTCCCAAATCGAAAAGACAAATCCTACAGTTAAACCATCTCTCTACGCTAACCCACTATCTCCTAAATAACACCTTCATGGGTGTTCTAATCTAATGTCTGAACCTAGACATCTGTAGTCAAAATAACATTGTGCCCAGTGCTCGTTGGTGCAAAACAAAAAAATGAACCCAACACGCGTTTCGGCGAAACTACACGCCGTCCTCAGGGGTATTGCAACCGAGGCTATACCTGCAATGTAATTTATACCCATATTGATTTACATACACCTGAACAACGGCCAATGAATGTATTCTGCAATTAAGTCACCGCACCAATGATATTAGAGGGGCGGGACACAGATACCAGCATCCAATCAGTGCATTTCAGTCTCTCCGGTCGCTACACCAATAGGATTGTGGGGGCGTGATATACACGTCACAACTCACAAGAAAGAAACCGTGAGCGGCCGGGATGATCAAATTGGCCGGTCCAATAAATTTTAACCCCTCATTTCCCACAATTGTCGCCCATATAGAATATCTCTTAATAATCAGTGGTAACTAAGATTAAACTAATGTCATCTAACCAAATAAGAGCCCCTAAATGATCCAAAAAGTAGATTGCTAAATTTAACAGGTCAAAGGAGCAAATAATTGGCAATGTCTAAACAAGATATTATGTTGCTAATGAAGAAAGTTAGAATGTTACCAATATATCTATGTTTAAGCACTTTATTTTAACAGTGCATATTCAAACATAGTCTATGGAGCAAATGAATAACGATGTCTGATCAAGATACTATGTTGCCACTAGAATGTATTATAATGTTACCAGTGTATCTCTATATAAACACTTTATTTTGACAGCACAGATACAACCATAGTCAATGGCATGTAATATAAGACACCTTAATTTTTAGTATGAGGATAAAAATAATAATAAATGGGTATAAAAATAAGGAAAGAAACAATGAGGGATAGCATCAAAATAAATAAAAACTAATAAAGAATATATATACATATGTACAAACTTAACAAGAGATACCTTAAAGGTATTGCCATTCTATTAAATAAACGGGGAGTAGGAAAAACCTTCATTCAGCCCAAGTGGATACAGAGTTTTGAGGCGATAGATCCAAAAAGCCTCTCTTTGTCTAATTTAGATAAATTCTCACATATTAAATCCTCATACTAAAAATTAAGGTGTCTTATATTACATGCCATTGACTATGGTTGTATCTGTGCTGTCAAAATAAAGTGTTTATATATAGATACACTGGTAACATTATAATACATTTTAGTGGCAACATAGTATCTTGATCAGACATCATTATTCATTTGCTCCATAGACTATGTATGAATATGCACTGTTAAAATAAAGTGCTTAAACATAGATATATTGGTAACATTCTAACTTTCTTCAGTGGCAACATAATATCTTCTTTAGACATTGCCAATTATTTGCTCCTTTGACCTGTTAAATTTAGCAATCTACTTTTTGGATCATTTAGGGGCTCTTATTTGGTTAGATGACATTAATCTTAGTACCACTGATTATTAAGAGATATTCTATATGGACCACAATTGTGGGAAATGAGGGGTTAAAATTTATTGGACCGGCCAATTTGATCATCCCGGCCGCTCACGGTTTCTTTCTTGTGAGTTGTGACGTGTATATCACGCCCCCACAATCCTATTGGTGTAGCGACCGGAGAGACTGAAATGCACTGATTGGATGCTGGTATCTGTGTCCCGCCCCTCTAATATCATTGGTGCGGTGACTTAATTGCAGAATACATTCATTGGCCGTTGTTCAGGTGTATGTAAATCAATATGGGTATAAATTACATTGCAGGGATAGCCTCGGTTGCAATACCCCTGAGGACGGCGTGTAGTTTCGCCGAAACGCGTGTTGGGTTCATTTTTTTGTTTTGCACCAACGAGCACTGGGCACAATGTTATTTTGACTACAGATGTCTAGGTTCAGACATTAGATTAGAACACCCATGAAGGTGTTATTTAGGAGATAGTGGGTTAGCTTAGAGAGATGGTTTAACTGTAGGATTCGTCTTTTCGATTTGGGAAGGGGGTTTTTGATTTTGGGTTTAGTATTTTTACTGGTTCCCTCTATGTAACAATTGGGGCATTTTTACCCCTTTTTTGGGTTTCTAAATACTATATACTACATATGTATCCTCTCTCTCCTACTTAGGTCCTCTATGCTGTTATTCCCTAAGGTATATGTAACACAGCTTAGTTTACTGCCCCTTTTCTTTTGGCAGTTTTTCAGGCTTTTCTATATGCTATACCTCTCCTAGTATTAGACCTTAGACATCTTTGTTTAGTCTTAGGTTTTTACCTAAGTTTTATTATTTTTTGGTACTATTTATACTTTTTTTGAGATTGGACTGGGTTCCTTTCCTATTGGCTGCCTTCTAGTAAGGCAGCTTTTTTGGAATTATATATTCTTTAATTCATTATTCTTGGGTTACCCCCTATTACCCAGTTTAGGTGACCATATCTACCCAAGGGAAGGGAGGGGGGCAAGGGTTTTTCTCTGTCCTACCTTCCGGTCCCTTGTGTATGTTTTCTTATTATTTTTTTGATACTATTGCACATAGTGTGCCATCATGGGGGTAATTCTCATTCCTGGTCCACCATACGGTCTCAAAGGCAACGTAACCAATCTGGCAAATTTCAATGTGAAAAAAGGAGATTCAAGCCTTATATTTGACTCAGTAACTTTTTAAAAACACCATAAAACCATCTATCATCAGTAAAAGTGCCATTTGTGTGTGAAAAATGCAAAAAACTGCACTTTCACTGACAATACCATCACTGTGATATGTTTTACTGCTTTTAAACACTAATATTTGTGTTTAGCGAAGTCTCCCAATTAAACAGTACCACCCATGTACAGGTTTGATGGTATCAGTGATTCTACCCATGTATAGGTGTGTTGGAATAAAATAACCTTATTTGGAGGGTGCGCATTCCAGTTTTGCAATGTTCTATTAGGGACATTTTTGAAGCCGGCTAATATAATTTACCCCCATCAAACCATATATTTTTGAAAAGTAGACACCCTAGGGTATTTCAAATGGTGGTATTTTAACACTTTCTATGCACTAATTCTACCACCAGTCTTTGTCAATCTTTTGGGTAGTCATTTTTTTGTGTTATTTTTCTCTCACATTGTACTTTAGGC